TTATAGAGTGTATTATAGTACACTATGATATGTGTAATACAGAAATCAAAGAAAGTGGATATTATCATTAATAACGTGTCATTAATGTTTTAACCTTTAAAGCCTTTGAGTCAAATGTTAAGAAGATTTTGTTATAAAAAGTCACAAAAAAATCTGTAGAGAAAAAAATTGTACAGAAAAATCATTTCCTCTTATGTAAAGTAGCCAACAAACTAGACAAATAGTTACGCTTTAAGTCACAAATATCAATTTATTATTCAAACAGACAACTCGTGTAAGAAATCAACGAATTTCAATAAAATGTACTAAATCGCCGTGTTGAAAAGGCATTGATATCTACACGCAATATTAAAAATCGTAAGTGGGTACACATGAATTATCGGAATGTGTGTAAGGTGAACAGAAATCCGGATTGGACTGTGAAAAGTGCAAACCGTCCAGTTTACCCAGTAAACAGTTGCCCTTAGCATAAGTCAACGGTTTGGAGCTGTACCTACGACACGACTGAAATCCGCTTAACAAACTTATCTATCGTTCTCTGCTGTATGAGAATATTTAATTGCGAGTCTAATAATCCCGCAACACGTTTACGCGTGTATTCTACTTGAGAATTTTTCAATAATACATAAGTTTAATCATGATTAATTCAAACGCTCTGATATACGATTATCACGATGATTGTATAGACATTATTAACCTGTTACAATTAGAAAATCTAATTGCCGGTATCTTGAAATTTATTTATTTTTTATGTTCGTTTAGTAAAAATAAAAACGTGATTTAACCGAAAATTAATTCATCTTTATTAAGATTTAATTTCTTATCAACTAAGAAACCACGAAAATAGGTTAAATAATAATAATAGATTATGGAATTTCAATACATCTACGAATTTCAAATTTCTCTGATGAATAGATTATAAGGAAAAGCAATTACTGATAATTACAATTTTATCATGCTTGTAATTCAGTATGTAAATTGGGTAATATCAAACGATTTAATTAATTGATTAAATATCAATTTTTCAGACATTCGGTTATAAAAGTAATTAATGTTAATAATAATGCATCCTTGGTAGGATTGGTGAAACACAAATTTGTCGACGATGTTTCGCGTTACATAGCATACAGTCGCGCCGGACGAATTTTAAACTAGTTCCCGCGACGCATAATTCATTTCTCATCTGATAAATGTAATTACGCTCGACAACGTATCGTTAGTTGCTTTAAAATCATAAAAGTTATTTTATAGTTCCACGTGACGTTAATACACGACCGCTTGTAACCCGAGTCGTTTATTTAATTATCATCCCGCTTTTAATTAGCTACAATTATTATTAGAAGATAGCGCGTTCAACAGGAACGATAATTCTTGATGTCTTTATGATATACCTTCAGCGCTTCGGTTTTAATTGCAGCTTTACCTTGCTTTCATTTCCTTGCACAAAGGATAAATTGATATTACGAACCTGGTAAAAAGATCTTGTTCCCTTGCTGTGTTATCGTGTGTGGTATAATAAACGGCGGAACTATAAAGGGAAAAACAGTAAACGTAATAAAGTCTGATGAAATGTAATAACACATAGATATCTATATAAATCATAGCTTTTAAACAACTTATCAAAAAATTAAGTTTTCATAAATCTTATAAATGTCCAACAGCATGAGAATTATTGCTAAAGTGTTAAATTGTTCCAGCACACTGGAAATAGTATTATATTCGGTGCTGTATTTATAATCACTATTAACTTTCGTATGATATAGAAATGAACCGAGAAAGTTACATAAATTTCATTAAATTTAATCTTGTCAGATTTTAATAAGCTAAAATTTGTACATGAAGACACGTAATATTTTTAATAAAATATGGTTTTTATCCAATTTCCTATTTTATTTCTTCACGCTGGCCATCGGATTTCATTTGAAAACATAAATTTTTATTTACAAAAGTAATTCATATACAACATTCACTCCTCCATTAACCATTAACGTCTTCTTTCATTCAAGTACGCTCGACATTGTCAAGAAAGGTCTGTTGCTTGAAATCTTTCTACTTGCGGTCGGTTCGTGCTGCAAACGGCGTTTTCTGTACTTAACCCATGGACTCTTCTTCCTCGGAGAAAAGTAATTTCCCAAACGATGGCAGAAGTTGAAGGAACAAGATGATTCCCTTTTTTCTCGTGAACCGTGTTAAATTGTAAAGTTTGCACAGTGACACATATCTCGTCCACTGGAAAACCGCGGAGAGGCCTTTCCTCGCAGTTTTTCGATCTTACTTATACATTTCTCTATTTGCGTTGATGGCGTAGACATTTGATGCCATACTCTCACGAGCAACGTTGTTTTCCTTATTCTTACAGCGATGTCAGTTTTATCTTTCATGTTAGACGAGGAATTCTATATTTTGGTGAACAAAACTGTAGCTTCTATTCTTTAGAAAGTGAAATAGTCTTAAAATGGTCAGCCATTAAAATATTTTTCATCTCCAGTGACTTTTCTTTATCTTTTAAACGTTTTGTCTCGATGTCAATAATTTTTATAGCTTTTTCAAGCTTTCCAAATTTTTATTACTAAATTTGTGGTACCGATTTTTACACGCAGTATGTTTTTCGGTACAGAGAAGATTTAACCGCTGTAATAGCCTCAGAGGCTCTTATTCAGCTAAAATACGAACACATCTCCAAAAAGGGAACGCTTTAAGGCAACAAAATACTGTAATTTGAAGTAATGCCATAGTTTGTAAAACTGAACACATAGGTTTTTTATATACCGCGACTTTAATATTGTTGGTAAAAACGAAAACAAAAAGAGAATATGATATTATATGACAGACGCAGTATTACATCACTATTTCTGGTACATGAGAAAATTGTGTCAGCGACTACAATTTTTAATTCACAAAGGGGCATGCTACTCCACCGTCGACAACTTTTAATACGTAAAACACGCAAAAAGCACGTGACATTGCGTATTGACAACAATTTTCAATTCCCATAAAAGTGTATGCCATTGACTATAATTTTTAATTCACGAGAAGACACAACTAGATCATTGGTTACTCTTTTTACATAGAAATATACAACTAGATTATCGACTACAATTTTCAACTCACGAAAAAACGTCGCGTTATGTCATTGATGATGAAAATGTTAAGACAACGCCGTCCTAACCACAGAGAACGGAAGCGAACATTTACCAGCATATTATAACGCAATCATCGCGATGTGTGCCGGGTTTACGAGCTCGTAAACTGATACGAGCCTTGATATAAGAATGTTATAGTTTGCTATTCATAAATTTGCCAACTAGCCAATGTGGCCTCGATGCAACGGCGCGTTCGCGATTTATTAGCCGGATAATCGAAAGTTGTCGCGTGAGCACGCGGTCTCGAGCCACGGGTTTCTACACAGGCGACGAGTTCATGCATACGCTGTACAGGGATTTACGTGCCCGAGATACCGAGCTGCCTGTTCAATTTTACTGCATTCCGAACGATTGTGTTTGATGGTTTACAATAATATGGTTGTTCCGATGCGAGGGATTGCATCGTGATACGGTTACACCCGTATCGAATCAAACGAGTTCGCATCTACGATATTTGTTTCGAGGGTTGCTTCTTGTTTTGCTAACGTAATCGTATTCCTATGGAAGAGTAATTTGTCTAAAAAGCTTAAATTATTGTCATTGAATGTAACACATTAATTCTAGTAAATTAATGGGAACGTATAATTATCGTACATATGATATACATATATGTGTAAATAACTAATATTGACGAAAAGTGAAAGACAATTTATAAGACAGCCTGTTTTGTAGATAATGATAATTCTAATTTGTGAAATGAATTCTGAAATCAGAAATCAATCCAGTTTGTTATGAAATCAAATCGTCTAAGAAAGATATATATTAATTTAATAGAGATAAATGCGACTAACGTTAAACATGTCGAAATACACAGAAACCGATCATATTATGAAAGTATAATTTTCCTCCACGTTCCCTTATCCTTCTTCCCTGAATTTTATCCCCATTTTTGACAACGCAATAACTTGAGCTACCACGAGGGCGTAATTGCCACGCAGCAAACGAAAGTACTGAATATAGAAAAGGATAGAAGGAACATTTGCTCAGCAGGCAAGAAACTTCCCAACCCTGGTCCCGTATATCTGGTGAGTAGGTATATTTCGGAATTTTTAATCTCGCGAAATTTTACACCGGCATAAGGAACGCGTGTAATACTCCTTCTCACCGTGCCAGCTGTATTTAGATGCGAAATACGCATGTACTACCGCGCCGAACGCCATTGTACGTTTATTAAACGCGTACCCCAGACCAGCTTTCGGAAATATATGAGGCGATTCATTCTTATTTCTTGGTAGCGTGATTCCAACAAAAGCGTGAAAACGCGCTATAAACCACTTCCACGAAGAGTCATCCGATTGTTGGCGCCTTGAAAGTGTCTTATCTAAGAACTGATATAATTTTAGCCAATTTTCATGATCAGTGAATAGCCTGAAATTATACTATTAATTTTAAAAGTAAGAAAATGTTTTTTAAATCTCCAACGCGGTTATACCTATGAATAAGAAAGAACACATAAACCAAAACTGTCACTCAAAACCTTGCAACTTTACAACAATGTTGCATTCAACGTTTGATTTAAAAGTTATACAGGTTATTCAAAGTTGCTGTGCGTGCATATAATTTCATCATTAAACGTCATGTTACGATTGTAGACACGATAAAAACAGTCAAACAAGTCTTTCCAAAAGACATCAGTACCTACTTTTGCACGTTGACGTAATGCATCAAGTACTCACCGAACGCACGAAACTTTTATATATTAGGTTGTCCGAAAGGTTTCTTTCGTTTTATAAGGAAATAATAGACGCACAATGTTTTTTGTTTTATATCAGTTTATTGAATTATGCACGAACATAATAATTGAAATATAACGAAATGGATCATACCTAATTCAATAAAATAATATAATACAGAAATTGTTGTTCATTTATTATCACCTTATGAAACGAAAGAAACTTTTCCAACAACCTAATAATATTATTAACATTTCGAGAAAAAGATTTCCACTGTCCACCATGTACTCCTCGGAACCCAAACAATATTCATTGTTTCTGAACATTTGTTTTTCAGAGTTTACTACATTCATTACTCGTAAACATTTGTTTGAAAATTTGGCCTATTTCATATCTAAATGCCATTAAGACCACTTTCACGTGAAATTCAAAAAGAATAAACAAGCAATCTGCTAATTTGACGTAATTAACAGGCTTTTCTTTGTCACCAAACAATCAAAGTCTAAAATGTGGACAAAGTGTGGAGCGCGAAAGGAACAGCACAATTTGCAACAAAACTGCGTTGACTAACGTCGGCGAAGGGAAAAGCAAAGTCTCGTGGGAAAACGTACTGGCGCGTCGCACCTGCGTAGACAGTTATTCACCGCGAAACAGTGACAGTTCGATTTTTTTCGGCTGCGGCATTTTTTCTTTTTTTTTTTTTTTTGGTACAACGCGGTGGACGCAACTACCGATGATTGATTCCAATCAATGACGTTGCCGGTGTATTTTACAGAAAAGGGAATCGGGCGTGCGAGGGCTCGAAATAGCTGCAGGGACTCTTGCAACAGTATCGTCGATCCATTACACGGTTTAACGTTAGCGTTAAGTGCAGGCGGCTATACATACAGGTGTCAGAGCATCGTAGGTAATAGTGCTCCGTCCTAGAGTGCTGTAGGTGTTTCGTATACCAATGGAAACCGATTACCGTGAACCCGTCTACGATCCCCGAGATTACCTTTGATACTGGAAAACGAAAAATCAAAATTAAAAGCGTCGTAAAGGAATATTCCTGTTGCGATTTAAATTTTGCATTTTTCTATGTATTCTTGGCAGACTGTGAATATTTAAACAGCTCAGAAAGGAAAATTAAAGAGTCTTTGATCGTTGAGTTTCTAAAGCGTTGGGTATATTTAAATTATTATATTTAAATTATTAGGTAGTTAGATATGAAATTGACGTCAAAGTTTCTACTTTGATTTGGCTTGTATAATTGTGAGTAATTTGAACAGAAAATTCAAGGTAATCTGTGGTGAGAGCGGAATCCAGTAATAATTAGCAGCGGTATAAATCAAGATTTTATTGTACGATTTTTACAAGTATCATCCTTTTAGTTTCACAGTTAAAAGAACATGATGAATTTTGGAAAATAATAGGTATAGAATATAGTATCATAGAAAACAACAGTACACTGACTTACACGGCTATATGATTCTCAGCCAACCGATCGTCAAAATTCATTTTAGTAATTCATTGCAATAATAATAAAAAGAAAGAAGCAGATAAATTCAAAGAATGAACGCATGTAAAATTGATCAAACCTCTTACAAACGTGACTCTAACGACGAGAACGTCGTGTTTTCCACTTAGCGGGACACCTTGTAATAACGTGGATATAACTTTCGGGGAAATTGAGCAGTCAGCAAACAGAGTCGAATTTGCAGGCAAACAAGATTTTCATAAACAAAGTAAAAGTGCACGATGAAGAAGCTTAGCGTGGATTGAGTTCGGTTACAAATTGCAATGGCTGAACGAACCGTGACACGATGCCCTGCCGATTAACTACACAATCGAGCAGCCGCAACGAAAAAGCTCTATTATTGGATTTCGTTTAACCTTACGAATATCCCCATAAATATTTATCGAAACGCCTTCGTGAAAGTCAGTCGATTTCATTGAACCGTGTCCCGGCAAGCCTCTTTCGTGAAACATTCCGGCTCCTGTTCTCACCGCTCGCCTCTCGTCCTCTGAATCGTATCCACTCGGGGAAAACTTTATTTCTGAAAGTAGAAAACTTGTCGTCGGATCGATTTACACCGTAAACGATGATCAGCTCTCTCCCCCGCGGAAAAATGTAAATGTTCTGGAATCGACGATCGCGTTTACCACTACGTTAAACTTCTTCGATGTAATTCGGATCCATAGTAAACAAAATGCGAACGAATAATGAAATTCGGATTTTTCTCGTTTCATTTGTGGAAATGATAACAAACAAAGTTTGTCAACAATTGATTTCACTTATTTTTCAAATTACAAATCGCTTTTCATTTTGACCCTTTCTTTTTGTTGTTGACTTGTAAATAATTGAAAATCAAATCGATACGATCCAATCGTTTACTAATTAAGAAATAATATGTACATCGTACGTTTCATGTTTCACAAAAATTGTTTAATGTAGGACAGTTCTCATATGAACGTTTTAGCCTTGGAAAATTGGATTTTGCTAGGTATATATTAATAAATGTCGAGAAGTTTGGGCTTTATGTTTTAATCTGATTTCAAAATTCCTTTTGATATGTAATTTTAATATGTAATAAACACATTAATTCGCATTACGAATGGAAAGAGGAGGAGTTTCATAGCTTTGGTATTAAAATTTGGATTAGTTTTGTTCAGATGAACCGAGCAAACAGAAGAGTTATTTATATAATCAGAAATGAAATTGGAATTAAAACTGTATCTGTGAGATTAGTTCTCGAATGTATATTGACCAATATTTAACCAACATTTTATCAACAAATTTACGTAGTTCTACTTTTATTCCAATATCCTTCACTCTCCCGCAAAGATCTAATAATAACGTTGTTACCTAATTACTACATAATCGAACATAAATTTTAAACTTTCACCAAAGTCAAGCTTCAACATCCATTGTTTCTATGAAATTCGTTGTTTCTCACGCATGTCGTACAGTATTTTACAAAACGCGAACGGACAATTGAATGAGGAGAAGTAAACGAGGACGAACAATAAACTAAAAAGAGAGATACGCTCCGGTGCAAACAGTCAATGAGCTTCATAATTCCGCGACATTATATTATGGTTTCCTCTTGGCCGGTTCGCATTCACGCGGTGCATTGCCGTCAACGTTCCAGCAAAGTGTTGACGGTCGACGTAATTAAACAAAAGCTTAATTTACAGAGAGACCGGCGAAGGTGATACGAAATGTTCGGTTCGCCCCTCTGGAATCCTTTATTCGCGCCCTTCCGTCAGTTTATTAATGCGCATTGCGAGCGTGCCAACGCGGCCAAAAATTTTCCGTGCAATTAAACCGATTTGTATTTTCGGAAGTGGCGGCATCGCTGATAGCTCGCCCCGACGCGGTAAATCACCTTCCTGTCACACTTTTTTTTTCCGCGAATGCAGAATTACTGGGATCGCGAGAATAAATTGTAATATAAATTTTTCGTTTTTGTTGAAAGTGATAATACAACAATGGCGATAAAACATCGTGTTTGGCTTGTCTCTGTTTTTACTACACGCCGACAGAAGCATGCTGAAATGGACGCTAACGAGGGGCTAAGCCCTTTCATTGAGAATTATTTTAGTATCTATAATTTTGAAGAATCAGAATCACTCTTTTCATCAGTTTAATCAAATAACCTTTTTCATAAAACGATTGGAAGGTCTGACCTATGCAAATCTATGCAAGAAGGATCATGTTTAAAAAAGTATAAAAAAGATGTAACTGCAGAATGCATGCTGTGTGTTGTACTCGTAAAAACATATGCTACTGAAAGTATAACTTATTCTCTTTAAAGTATTCCCTTGTTTCCTCCAACCTACTTTCTAATGGAAGTTAGAAAAAAATAGAAACACCAGCTGCGGAGGAAGCTTCGCATAATTTTTACGAAAACGAAAGATCTCTTAATTTAGAGTTAGAAATAAAAGAGATATTTATAATATTACAGAAATAGAAATGGAAAGTGTGTTACTATTACGATGATTAATTTTTGATAACTAATGTCTCAATTGGAAATCGTCCCGAAACAATTCGCAATCTGGACTCGAATTATAAAGTTGTATAATTGGAAATGAAATGGAACATAAGAGACGCGACACACGTTCAGAATTACTGCTCGTGCTCGGCTAGGCACGCGATTGTTCAAAACTTTTCTCCGGGTTATTCACCCTCTGTGTCTGTGGCTCTCTAAAGGAAGAAATAATTGTGTACCTGGAAGACTGTTTCTTTTTCATTGGTTAACTGCGGCAAAAAATTGCCTGTAACAATATTCGCGATAATATCGGGCGATGCGAAAAGTTCAGCGAGTAATTGACGTCAGCGCAACCAAGAGCTCGCATTGCATGTGACCGTTTGCTGTGTTTGCTCGCCGATTATTCCTCCATTTGTTTAAAAATTCTATCAGGCTTTTTTCCACTGTTCAAAGCAATTGTGTAATCACGTTTCCAGCTTATTTTCTATGGATTAATATTTTTTTGCCACGTGCACTGGTCAGGTTATAACATATGAATTACAGATTAACATTTTAATTGGTTATTTCATTTAACTGTACTATGTAAAAACATACCTCCTGAAATGTATTAACTAGGTTCAAATCTCTTATTAGACGTTTTCTTTGTTTGACTTATTAAAAGAATTTTTATTTGCGAACGTTAGATTATTCAAAGAAATTAGATAAAGTGGCCATATAATTTTATTGTATATTCTAAAGTATATATACAAGAAGAATATAAATTCAATTCTTTTACTTTATTAGGTGGAATTAATAGTAATTATTAATTGTTTAGTTATTTATATAATTCTTTAATTGATTTAACTTCTAAATGTTTAAATAAGATTTAAATAAGTACTTTTATCGTTACAGTAATATTAATTTAAGCAATGAGCAACAAAGATATTTCGAATATTGCGACACTCGAAAGGTATTTCCAGTTTATTACAGGATATAGGGCAATTTACAATTTGTCCGACATATGTAATGAATTATTCTATCTTAGAACACGCGTATTTTAACGAACCTTATTTATACGATTATTTATAGGGGTAAACTCGTTCTTGGTGGCTTGCAACGTTGCATAATCTAAGGAAACACGAATTGGCAGTAGGTTTACGAGCCAAGATTGCACGATTACAGCAACACTTGACCCACTATCGACTCGTTAAACTTCCGTCAACGTATACTCTTGGAAATATTCCAGAAACTTTTGTAATAAGACATTCCCATAATCGAAATAAAATTACACACGTAGCCTATTAACATTTATCCTTCGATTCTTGCGATTCTTACGTCAAAATCAAAACTCCATGTTTCTTTTATGCTTTATTCTTCGCCAATCAAGAGACAAACGTAGAATCTAATTTTGCAGAACGTAAATTTAACGAAACAAAAGATTCGAGCTTTCTAATAAAACGAGGAACGATCCATTCTATCGATTTCTCTGAAGAATCGTGTTTATTAATCCTCAAATATCGCGAGAAGACAAGCGTATTATATGTGTGTGTGTGTATAGATAATAAAATTACACAGAATCGTAGAATGTCAAAATGTGACCAAATCGTGTCTTTTTTTTTTGTTGGTTAACTGCAGAAAGAAATTTGTTTATAACAGTATTGGGAATAGCAGATGACGCAAGAAGTTTTGCAAGTAACTAATATCAGAAGAATCAACATAAACGTGACTAATGTAATTAAAAATTGAAAATTCCAAAGCAAAAGATAGATGACCCGTCCTGTCGATCTCGTTTAAAACAGTGAACGTTATCCTCAGAAACACAACGAGGAGGCAAGTGTACCGATCGTATGAATTTTGTATTCTCCAGATAAATTAGGTCATCCGCGCATGATAACTGAATTTTCTGGTTAAAAGGCAATCATCTTTGCCACACTTGCGCCTCTATTAGCCACGTCGCTCTTGAATAATTTTCGGGAAATTGCTCGTATAATGGAATATTCGCTCGATCGTCACTCTGTTAGTTACATTATAACGACACGGAAAAATGTAGAA